GAACCGCACATCGGGCTTGAAAGCATGGTTGTGCACGGTACTCGATCTCTCCGAAGTCTGGCAAATTATAACAACTCACCATCACACCACACAGTCAACATCTGCAACAGGCCTCAGCAATTCTAGAGCTAATGCTGATGTGCATCAATGAACATCAGAAATCTCACGTGGATTGTGCTCGTCGTGGGCACACACCAACTTTAGATACACAAATCTGCGGACTGTGCTTCTTGCTTTGCCTTGCCGCGGCAAATCCATAAACCGCACAGCAAGCTTTGGAAAAGATCAGCCATCAGCCCATCACGATACACTCGTGGCAGGGTGTCCGACGCAGCGATGGCAATCAATGACACGGTTCCTTCTGCAATTGAATGGCGACTGTCCGGTGGGAGGCCAAGCTCAGCACGATGTCTGATGCCTGTCCTGGCAGGATGGACAGTGCGCAAGCATTTGGGTCTTTCCGGCGCTAACTCGCGCGATTTGGAAGCTAAAACCTTACAGCAGGACCGCCATGATCAGTGTTGCAATTTGAGAAGACTCTTTCTGAGAGGTGAGTGCTCATCTCGGAAATACCCTATGGCCCATGCAAGCAACAATGCAACAACCTCCATGTTGCAAGAGCGTAGTTTGTGCGTCCCTCTATGGCATTGGCTCCTTTCTATCGCTTCAAGCAATGGATATCAGAACGCAGTGGGTTTATGAAAGCTTTGGCGACCATCCCCTGATAACGGCGATAAATGCTGGACCTTTTTGGCAAGTAAACAACAAGCTATGTTGGAGAAGCACTATTCTGAGTGAGGCCCTCGGCTTGCGCAAGTTGATTAGCTTGGCCTACGGGGATTTTTAGGCTTTAGCTCTATCAGAACAAGATTGTACCTTGCTGATAAAAACGTCACTTGCCTTTTTTGCTGTCTTCTGCAGCATCGTCCCTCAGGAGGAATTCAAGGACTAAAAGGCAAAACATCATACTTCCCCAGCGAAACGCCGTTGTGGTTTATGGACTCCAAGACGATCTTCTGCTTGCTGATGGTCATATCAAAGAAGCCGTATTGACTGCTCCTATAGTTGATGGCACTGCCCTCCGAAACAATGCCTCAGGGGTTCTAACAATTTGCAAGCAGCAGGCAACCGCATTACGCATTGGCGCTAAACTTAGATGTTTAGCAACACCAGAGAAAGGATGAGTGCTTTCACAGGGCTTACCTCCACCACCACCGGTAATGAAGCATGTCATGCCGCCCAGCATTCCAGAGTTGTGGAAAACCTGCTGGATGTGCGTGTGCCCAGTCACCAAGAGATCGAGACCAAACTGCTGCCGTAGCTTCTTGAACCACTGAGCCTGGGTGCCGCAGCCGAAATGAGTGACGGCAACTTGCCAATCAGCAGTCGACGCCCTGAGCTTGCTCTCAAGCCAAGGCTTCTGCTCCTTCTCCCAAATGTCCCAGAACCACCTGGTAAATCCAAAAACAACAGACCCAAAGAAACAGGCTCTAAATATGGGGATTCCTTAGTAAGGACATCCAGAACGTAGCTGTCTTTTTGGGGAACCGATCGCCTGAAGCATGCTGAGAGGTCTTTAGGCCCACCTGTGGTAGCGCAAGTAGCTCCAGGTGGATTGTGTAGGCGTCCGCACAAGTTGTGCTCTGGATCCGCATCGTATGGTTTCACGTCCATTGCGTTGCTGTCTATCATGAAAAACCTGAAGAAATCATGCCATGTGCAAAAACAAGACAGCAGCATCAACAACACATGAAAACAGTAAAAATTATGAAGCTCGAACAGTCGCTCTGCGGCAAAGGACTGATCTGTGTACCTTCAAGCTATGAAGGGGACATCCCTTTCTGAGGGTCGCAAGTAACAACGCTGTAAGCTGCAAGTACCCGAAAATTTGCTTAGAGCAGGCTGACGCAAATCCTATACTGCATCCATATCCACTACGACCTAAACCAGACCCTGGGCGGGAAGATATTCAAAGGTACTCCACACGCTGCATCCAGTATAACGCCGGCAATCTCCAGCGATCACTGGCAAAAGTATAAGCGATCTGTTGGTCCCAGGCCTTCGTCGAGGGAATTGCAGAAGAGATCGCCCAACGTGCACTTAGACTACATACACTACGCTCACTCCTCGCTTCTACACGAAGAAGGCAAACTTAACAGGAAGAACACACACCTATAGTCCCCCTTAAGTAGATAGAATATGGGGTATATGGGGATCTTATTATAATGTACCCAAAGCCATATTCTATCTACTTAAGGGGGGACTATAACCAGTTAACCAACCTGCTAGGCCTGCTAGGCTTCGAGACGGCACAAGGGCCTTGTGCCTGCATATAGGGATAATGGAAAAGAAAATCGAAACTACAGGGATTATAGGGGTTCTATTGGGGTTCTATAGGGGTTACATTGGGATTATATAGGGCTTGTATAGGGATAATGGAAAAGAAAATGGAAATTACTATAATGGGTTATACGGGTGGTTGTCAAAATTATGGTCCAGTTGCAAAGAAATGCCCAGGCATTAACCTCCCTGAACCAAGGGCACCTTGTTGAACTGGAAGCCGCCAAGGTCGTGATTTCCGAAAACGCTCAGCCAGGGCTTCCCATCTAGCCCCGGTCCTTTGTATACTTGCTCGAAAATAACGTTGAATTGAGCCTGCGTTTGCGGGTGGATCTGGCTCATAGGATGTCCACACTCAGTCTCAATACCCCCCCAGTAAAAATTGTCTCCAACGTTCAGCACAAAGTCAGGATTGCTTTGCGGGGCACGCTTTTTCATTTGTTCCGCAACGAGCGATTGCGCATGAAGGTCAATCTTGGGATCAAAGAAACAGTTTTGGGGACACATTGCAGTGTAACCCATGCAGCCCGTCATATCCTTGGTGGTGCATCCTGCACCTCGATGCCTTGCCATTGTATGTGGCCCCGGAGTGTGGCCACCCTTGTATTGAATAATGGCCTTTGGTGCCCCTGAGCCGGTACCCATCAAAGACCCCCAATCGCCAACGGCAAAGATGTGTTTGACATCTGTACCGGAAATCCTCATGGTCTCCCAGGCCGCACCATTGTGGGCCTTCACGTTGGAAGGCGGGTCCAGTCCGCCACGCCTCTGCAGTTTCATGGCGCCGGGCATTGCAGGCGCGTAATATGGCGGTGGGCTTGGTGCCACCGGCATGTATGGCGGCGGGCTGGGCGCCATTGGAGTGTATCGTGGTGACGTGTACGGGGGATAGTACATAGGATATATAGGAGATCTAGGCGGTGCATAGTTTGTTACTGCCGGCTGACGGCACTGCGGCAACCAGGGATAGTATAGGCAGAGATATGGCTGGTGCTCCGAGGCAGCCTCGCTGACTTCGCTCTCGGAGTCCTCGCTCGCCACTTCGCTGAGCTTCTTTCCACGGAGCTGCATGGCCACGAGGCCGCAGGATGTATCTGAACCAACACACTCATCTTCTGCCTCGAACATGCCAGCATCCAGTGCTCCGGCTGCCAGCATCTGGCATGCAAGCACCCACAACATGTGTTCAACGGACTAAGCGCTTTTCAAAAAGAGTTTGGGCCAAGGAAGCTAGCAGCACACCGCTCTGGCACTAGTCATATGCTACCAGCTGCTTCGGCATGGTTAGGCTCATTCAAACCATCGAGCCTCGTCCTGCGAAACGCTCGGCGCAGAGCGCCAACTGTGCTGGTGACAACCCCTGGAGCGAGACGCTCAGCAACGGCTGTGCCTTTAGTGCAGCACTGGACGACTCTAAAATCATGGCTCAGCAAAGCATCGAAGAGCTTTTGGCTTCGTCTGGGATGCGCGCGCTGTCCAAGAGCTCCTCATCCACAGACCTAGACCTGTCGACACAATGAGTATTTGTACATGTCCGTCAGGCGCGGGTTTTCTGGCTCAGGCAAATGCTTGGTCTGGTCGCCTTGATCCTCTGCTCCTAGCAGGATGCAGCTGCGAATGGGAAAGTGGTTCGTGGGCTTCTTGCTCCGCTCCTGAAGAGGGCTGTGAGGGTGACGGAGCACTCTTCTCGGCAACTACCAGGGTCAAATTGTCGACTCATTGGATATGATACTAAATTCTGCAAACCGTCGACTGATCTCCATCATCGCTGCCTGCCCGCTGCAACGCATCCAAACCTTCAAGTGCCTGACAAGCCCACTTCAATCTTGGGCATATTGTATCAATTCACAACGGCTTTAAAATGCTTGACTTCACACGTTACGAATTTCATGAATGCTTTCCATCAGACATCAGCAGACTCAAGCCCATGGACTCTGCAGGGCTCGAACGTGCCCTGTGCCTGAGCGACTCGCGCACCCCGCTGATTCCTTCGGAAGCGCTCGTCCGGATTCCAGGGGGCCTGAGTCCCAAACATGCCAGGGAAGGCCACAAGGCTGAAAGCATGCTGGGTAGAGAGCATAGTAGGGCACCTCAGCTCGTACAGAATAATCAAACTATTGAAGCCACAACTTGGCAAGCCTTGGGTGCCATGTTCGCACTCCAATCCAGCTTTCGAGTCACAGCATTGTACCACATCCTGGCGAAGTCACAGAAGTGGGGGGGCGGCGACAGCTGAAGATGGTGGGAAGGGTCCTCCTTCTTTTGGCAACTGCCTGGCTCTCCCCATCCTCCTGCAAGTTTAATGAGAGGAAGTCCGTAAGGATAATGTGAGTTGTGGGCTTTCATCAGTCCGTGACTCTGCAAAATCTAAAAATTTCCTGCGCCTACTTTCACGCCTACCATCCCGCCTCCTCAATAATGGCATCATCCACGAGAGAGTCTGCCACTGGCACCACCTGACAAGAACTTCAGGCTTACCTTGACCTTGCTGGCTGCTCTTTGGTGCTGGACCTGGAAAGCATCGTCAACCTCCTCCAGCCTTGGCTCCTGCGAGCACAGGATTCCAAATCTTCTCCACGGGAAAAAAAAACGATATCCATGACTAAGCTGTCCAGGCCTCTTCATGCTCTGCCGGCACCTGGTTCAAACAAACTGGGCCGATCCCACAACATCCCACAACACAAGCTCTTAGCCAATGGCAACTTCTGCATCTTGCCCCTGTGCAGTTTGTCAGTGTCTCAAAAAGGCATTTCTGCCGTGTGTACGCTAGTGCCAGCCTTCTTGAGCAGGAGCCGCGAGACCAGCTGCGGTTCGGCAAATGCCGGCATTTGCGTCGAAGATACTGCTTCCTGGCTGCGAGTCCCTTTGCGGCGCTGTGGGGATTCTGGTGACATGTGCCCGACCTCGAGAGGTGCGGAGTCTGGGTTCAGGCCCTGCAAGCCAGTCACCACCTCCTGTCCCAATGCCTGCCATCAACATCCATCAACCAAATGTGAAACTTCCCGGCGGATATCTGACGCCTCGTACAAGGCTGGCTCCGCAACCTCAGTTAAGCCCGAAAAGGGCAACCCTGCATGCCTTATGACACTCATGCCTTGTCCATGAAACTTTAGGCCTCTGGCGTCCAAGTGCTGGGCAGCTCGCAGCGTGGGACAAAGGAATCGCATCTGGCTTCCAGGCACCTGCCAATCGTAACGCTACGTAGCAGCCTTTGCTTAGCAAAGAATGCCTTGTCCGTCAAGGAAAGCCAGAACTCGATGGGTGCCTGGCCACATTCTCGAGGGAATCACTGGATACAAATTCAAGCTGCTTCTAAGACTCGGCCCCAACAGCGTAAAACCCTTGGTACACCTGTCCAATCCAAACAATCTAAAAGTTCCGGCTTTTGGACCAGAGTGGACTCCATGGTGGCCTTTCAACCATTCTACTCTCCTAATAGAGGTCCTGCTACTCCTGTGACTATGAATCCTCTGAGTGCTGTTCTTGCTCCTCTTGCTCATCCACGTCTACACATTTGAAACCCATTGTGATTTCTTGCTACTTGACATGCTGTTCAGGCATTACTGGTTGTCGTCGTTGCTATTCGTATCATTCTGTTGGAAAGCCCGCCCACGGTGAGTGCAGTCTTCCGATAGACTCCATAGGAAGCCCTTGAAACCATGTATGCGAAGGTAGAATTACCAAACACAGCCCACAATCCTGTGAAATATCCATGTGGATAATTGTCACGATGGTGAACAAAAAACACAATCGCTCTGAGTATTGCACCACCCTACCCTTGAAGGCCCAAAAACTGGGCTGCTGATGATGTCCACTTGGCATTCCTAAAGCCCTGTTGATTCCCAGTGTAACCCTCTAGAAAGCATCGCACATCAATGCCCCCATAATTTCCCATGTGTAAGCTTCCGCAAACCAATCCTTACATAGTCCTTCACCAGGACGCGGAGAGTGCTTGCATGTATTGTCTTTCCCATACAACTGAAGGATCCCTGAAGGCCCCTCTACTTAACCCTAAAACCTCCACGATTGCATGGTTCCTTCATTGCATTTCCGGAGAGTGTATCGAGGCCGAGTGGAGCGGAGGGCAGGGAGGGGAGGGGAGATGCGGATCGCACTGAAGAAGCATAAAAGCGGCAGCACCTGCGAAGAAATCGTGAGATGGTACCAATGCGGCAGTGGTGTGGGATTGCCCATCAGGCCAATGATTCTTCAACTGTCTAAGCTATGCTCTGGGGAGAGTCCCATCTTACTCCCTAGAACATTGCAAACTTTGCCCGCAAACAAAGGTTGTGCGATGCTATGCGACAGCTTGGCTGCCTCAAAGGGCTCTTCCAGCTCTGCAAAAGCCGACAGCACGTCAGCCACGGAACCGAAGCCAGAGTCCTTTCAACGAGCAGACGAGAAGGAGTTTGGGTTACAGGATGTTACAGGTAGTTTAGGGGCTAAGAGCGTGAAGAGGGCTATTGTTTCGTGTTCAGGGGGGGTGTTCAGGGATGTTGGGTGGTTGCGGGTTGAACGTCTCGGTTCAGCGGGGAACGGGCGAAACCTTTGGGATTAGTTGAAGGTTCAGGGCTCTTAAGATTTTCATTGTGCTGGCTTCACCACATGGTTTCTGGGCCTCGGGCCTGCAGGGTGCTAGCCATTGCAGAAACATTCCGACCCACCTGCTCCTAACCAGCAACCTCGCGCTCATCGCCATACACGCGAACCGCTGCCAGTTAGGATCCGTTGAAGGCTGGCGCGATGTGAACGTGCTCGCGACTGGCCAAGTTTAAGACCCATTCCGTGTTAAGCTAGCAAGCCTTGCGAAAAAAAAATCAACCATTGTTGCAAAGTCATGTTGACAGTACATAGAGAACGTATTCCTAAGCGACAGGACTACGCACAGCAGACAGTGGGTAGGACGTCCGAACCTACGCCTGCCTGTCCGATGCAGTGTCATGCCATCACGCAGGTGTCGCAGGGGTTTGAGGAGGATTTGGGATTTAGGATGCAGGACACTCAAGTTCTTCAGGAACAACGCTAATTCTGAAAGGTGTAGATCCTTTCGGGATCTGCTGTAACATGAACCACGGAATAATGTTAGGGAGAGAAAACAGAACTCAACTGTTGAAGAGCAAGCATGTGCAGGCTGGAACGTAAGTGAGTAAAAAGAATGCATGAATCAACGATGGAAGCAGCTAAGCACGAAATGAAGGCGGGAGGAAGGACATGCAGCCTGAAGAATGCTGTGCTCCACCATGCAATGTGCGCCGACAAACTGGCACATAGCGCAGTAAAGACCCAGGTTTGTTCTTAAGGATTGCGACCCGGCATGCTTCACACGTGCCTGTGACAGTTGACACGTCTTAAACGTTACAAACATCGGCCGGTCCAGAACTTGTGAGGCATGCTTGCAAAAGTCCTAGGAACGCAAACACCTGCAGATGCATGCGGAAGCCTGCCGTCTGGGTAAGTCATGGATCCCCTCACTCTTGTACCTTGAGGCGAGAACCGCCATTTTAGGTACAGACTTCTGCTGTCCTCAATACGCTGAAGAAGGACGGCGTTCACTGCCTTCAGCATCTTGGAGTCCTGGCTGTGCTTTTTCCGGGCACCCTTCCAACACTTTGCTGAATCAATGGGGAACATGTGGGAAAGGCGACTTGGATTGGAGTGGGTTGCTGGAGGGGGCGACTTCATACCAATTGGAGCTCAGGGCAGAATGGAATCCAATAAAACTGAAACATGGTCAGACTGGAAGTCAGGCGTTGCAGTGGTCCCTGAAGCGTAAGCTGGCAAAGGCTTTGCATAGCACAGCCAGCGTCTGAGGGTCGGCAGCCTTTGCACCGTACCTCTCCAGAATCCGGCTCTCCGGAACGTACATCAGAAATGATCAGATTCTCTGCTTACAGATTCATCTTGCTAGCCTGCCTCTCGGTGTCTTCCACTGAGGTGTACGGCTGCTCGCACAAGAGCCGTGTTACATGCTGCGCGAATGCTTTCAGCATCAGTTCGCTCACACCTCAACCGTTGGCTGCCAACATTCTGTGCGCCAAACAGATTTCGGATCAGCTTGCCGGGGCCATGGCAGTTGAAGTGCGCATATGCATTCAGGATCACGGCCGCTTCCACTAGCGACAATTTGTCTACGTCATCGATCAACTCCTTTGCTACACACGAGTGAAGTCCCGAAATGTTTGCCACCTCTATGCGATGTGGACCATTCTAGAAGCGTAGCTTGAATAAAATGAACATGCAGCACCACGATTCACAGGCTGAGATTCTCGAGACACAGTCTTCAGGAGGTGGGTGTGACGGTAGTTCGCGGTCAACAGCGTGTCAAGGATAACAGCCACGTCACCTTGACAATAGCAAAGCCAGTTTGGGATGGTGGCCGGCTGGCTGTGGGCCTACATCCATGATGTCGCGCAACTGCACAGTCCGTTCAGCAACCTGCCCACATAATGACTGACCCGCTCAAGGCAGCTCGACAGCAACAAAGCAATTCACGTGTAATGCGATGTGCTGACTTGTCCATGCTGTCCGTTTTGGCATGAAGGCCTGCTGCCAAAAAAAGGTGTCCTGGATGCGGAGACTTGTTGCGCAAAACGCTTGAAGAAAGCAAAAGATGGGTCACACTTTCATGGAGACTCGCACTCCTCCAAGCGCTCGACCTGCGCGCGCTGTGCAGTGTCCACAAGCACCCGAGGCGAAAGTAACCTCGCTGCCCAAGCAGACACATATTACCCAACATAGCACAGCCAAGTGCAGCCTCGTGACATGGGCTCTGGCCAGTCTGGCAGTTGGATACCACTTAGTGGCCCACCAATGTAACACCTGCAACCAAGCGATGCAGACTGTGCCGTGCTGCATCGCGCTGGGAATGCTGCCATGGTGCCACTTGCCGCGCTGCCGTTGGCGAACACGGTTGTACTTGTGGTGCTGCCATTTGTACGGGTTCTTCTCCCACGGGTTGATGTAATATCGAGGCACCACCTCACCGAAACATGCTTCGAATCCACACGCCCATCAAACCAAATCAGCAAGTCCAGAGACACAGTTTGGCCTCCGACGCCAATGCTGCTTAGGGGCACGTGTGAAGGAATGCAATGTGGTGCAGAACTTCAAGGGAGACGCCAGGTATACCTACCAGGTCAGAACAGGAAAAACCAGGATCGGATAGACGATTATGACGATGATGAAGATGATGATGAAGATGAAGATGAAGATGATAGCGGTGATGATACAAATAATGGCAATGGTGGCGATGGCGAAGAGATGATGATGATGATGATGATGATGATGATGCTGATGATGATGATGATGCTGATGATGATGATGATGATGCTGCTGCTGCTGGTGCTGCTGCTGGTGCTGGTGCTGGTTCTGCGGTGCTGGTGCTGGTGCTGGTGCTGGCGCTGGTGCTGCTGGTGCTGGTGCTGTTGGTGCTGCTGGTGC